TGAGGGGGCTGCTTGAGACATACCGAGGACGAAACTGACTTTTGGTGCATTAGACGATGATGAAGAAGCCTGAGAGAAGGTTTCAATCGATTCCAACTGAGTGAGCATACCACTCCTCGACCACTTCGTCGGTTCCTCCTCATCGGCGACCCTAAGCCTGTATGCTCCAAGCCTGAGAAGAGTGAGGTCCCATTAATTCCTGGTGTATGACCCTACTCTCAAGAAGCTCCTGGTCATGGTCCTCTGGGCTAGTGTCCATCGTGAAGCCGTCTTCCTCTTCCTCCTCACCACTCGAGGGACCATCATCATCATCACTATCGTACTCCCCTATAAGATCCAAACCCTTCCGCCGCCTGGTACGGATCTGTCCAAACATGATGGGACCAAGACCACTGACGATAATGATCACGACGATTGGCACATACTTTAACGCAAGAGCTCATCGGTAGGAAGAGACAGTAGCAGGTTGGCATCCTACACAAGTTGGAGTGGCGGCGGTGCTAGGACCACATGCCACAGGGCGTCTATGGTACTACTAGGAAAGGGTTATCGATAGCACCATACAGCCTATGGGGAGTTCGCTAAGACTATTCACATTCAGTTGAGGTGGTCAACAACCGACCTCAGTGTGAATCTTCCTCTCCGAATCACGCAGCCGGAAGGATATGTCGATCGATAAGCCAGATAGGCGGCCTCAGTGGCCTCCAAGGGATGATGTGCACTGGCGGACTCCACGATTGAATTGCAAACACAAAGATTGGGTTATAGTCGGTATCTTAATGTCGAAGGCTAAAGATTCAAAACAGGTAGTACGGTCCAACACAGCCTAGCGTCCATGCTACTGAGAACCTCCACGTTACAACATAACATCTAGCGCCTATGCGGGTCCACGGAGTACAGCAGCGAACAAGGAGGAAGAAATTTGTGTAAGAAAAAAGCCCGACCCACTCCAGAGTGGTCCTTCTATAACGTTACCTCTGCAACACTGTATTCATCCTCATACACCTCAGCTTTCTTTCGCCAACTTGATCGATTTCCTTACGCTGTTTGTACATGCGTGCAATACATTTCGATACCACCCACTTCCTTCGGGCGTAGCTTACAGCGGAAGCTTCTGTTTAGGATATTATAATATGGTATAGGAACACCGTAGGGTTACTGGGGGGAGGAGTGGTATCAGGCAAAAGTGCCTCCGATGGAACTTCCGTACGATGTTTGAGTACTGACAACCGAACCTAGAGTGTCCTTAGTTGCCTCCTGTAACAATACTCCATCTTGTATCCATCTCAAAGGGTTATTGACCTTCCTCATCCTATGGGTTGGACAGGTACTAAGGGAATTCAGGCATCATGGTATCACCGCCGTACCATCACATGAACTTGCCAATCCAACATGGACCAGATCGGGCCGGTCGTGAGGCTGAAGGGTACATGTGCACGGTAGTGCTTTTCTGTGAGCCGCGGAGATGTTACATGGCGGCTGGGTTGCGTTGTAGTGACGTGATGGTTGCCAACTAGTCGGTGCCGTGCCCTTGGGGGACGCTGAGGCTCTACTCAATACAGGGAGAATTATGGGAGTTGATACGACAAAACGACAATTGTGGAGAAATTCCATTGAGGATTGTACACCTTGGCTTGAGAAATTACGTCGTGTATGAAATCTCTGGAGTGGGGAAACTCCTGAGCTCACCGGACAGCACTTACTCCAACACTGATAGGGCATCCTGGAGCTGGCACGATAGTGGGGCAGTATTAAGATTTCGTTCTTCCGTGGAAAAACTCCTCGTGGAAAATATGAGGCCATGTGGCACAGGGCCTAAAATTTTCCTATAGACCCAATTATTAGACTACGCGAGGCCTACGATCTCGCCGGTCCGCCTGTCCACATAACAGTTAATA